CGTCGCGTAGTGATATGCGACGATTAGGGGTTCAGGGACTCATATTTTTTCTACTTGGTGAACCTCCGATCCTGCGCCATGCCATCGTCGATTGTCGTATCCCCTTTTTCAGAGCCATCTACTGCGTGGCCACACATTGCTGGCATCTCCTCCTGAGTTAGACATCTTTTAGAACTCGCTGTCTAGTGCCATCTTATGAGTGTGGTTCTCGCTTCTGACTTCATCATGGGAGTGTTGTGCTCCATCTATTGCCAGCCTTGTGAGTCCTCGCCTCGGGCTCCTACTTACGGTTATCCTTTTCGCTTCCAGCTCGCACAGTGATCGGGGTTTTTTACCGCTTTGGAGGCTGATGATGTAGCCCGGGTCTTCTTTTTGAGTGGTACCCGCTCCACCTCGGGCACGGGCTTGACCACACCAGGCGAAAAAACGAACCTCGAAAATTCGCCCGGTGGGGATCGAACCCACGCCCTACGGTACATCCTTGTATCAGCAGGCAAGAACTATACCCACTGAGCCAAGGAGGCCGATGACAGCGTAAAAATGTAAAAACCATTTCCCCTAGGAAATAAAAAAACAAACTGGACGGTTTATAGAGATTTTTTGGTTGATAATCTGTCTTGTCAAATCTCGCTAAAAACAACCGATAAAATCGAATCGGCTGTAGAGAATTTTAATATTTTCATTCATAAAGCGGACTAACTAATCTAAAACAACCACGCAATATTCTGTTAACGTATTTCTGAGTGCCTGTCGCTGGACATAATCTCACACATGATATTTTTTCTTATAATATTTGTATAACATTTACCAATTGTACATATGTTCTAGACAGATTGTAAATAAATGGGTAGAAAAAAAAATTTTTTCAGACTGTAAGCCAGCTGAAATGTTTGATTGAATAATTCAAAACTGTATCTTAATACTTTTTTTAAAAGTATAAATACAGGTAAGTAATGATAGTCTGATCCGTATATAATTTGAGCCTAATTCTAAAATTGTTAAACAAAAACATTAAAATGGTGTTACTTGAAACGCAGAAAAAACCATCTTTTAGAATTAAGCAGCGAAGGTGCGTCTTTCAGCTCTAATGCGAAATGGCATCTTTCTGCTCGGATCGTGAAGTGGCATCTTTTTTTTTTTTTTATAGTATTAGTAGGTTTTTATTGGCATTTAAAAATTTGACATAGCCATAATGAAGTGGCATCTTTCTGCTTTGCTCTGTGGAGCATCATCTTCCAGCAATGGCACGTCGACATGAGGCGCGGGTCACCAATTGTCCTAAAATTTTTGTATGGTCTCCCGGTACCTTATAATGAAGCCCTCTATGTTTAGTTTGATCCAATGGGCCTTAAAGTCTACTGGGTCTGGTTTCTGGTACTGAGCATTTTTGTGTGTGCCAGGGTAAATTATTTCATTGGAAAGAATCATAGTTAACTTAACTTTACTTATGACTCCATTTGCCCGGCTGTAGCGTTTTGACTTTAATATTTATTCTAGTTTTAAGCTCTAGTTTTTAAGCCTATTCGAGAATTGAACTTATAGGCTCGATGGGCCTTGCGCAAAATGTTTGAGGATCATTGAGGCCACAGTAGCGCGTCGTAAAGTACGGACGGACGCCGCTCCAAGACGTACAGGTCTCTTAGCAGCTGATTTTTTCATTCATATTTTTTTAAATTTTTCTAATTTTTATCATCGTTTTATCAAATTTATTCATTTCTTTTCAAATTTGTATGATGCTTAATTATTTGATTTTTAATTGATTTGTATGATAATTTAATTTTTCGTTGTGTCGTTCGTAATACATACACTAAATCGTTGTGTGTTAATGTATCCCAATAAAAATGTCGACTTCCCTTAAGAAGACACATACTCATAAATACGTTTACATACAAGCATTGATCAATAACAGATTTGAAAACATGCATGATAGGGCGTAGAGTCTTACATCATAAACGCATTGACAGCACATACGTTTTCTATACTTACAGGCATTAGCAAGAGAGAGAAAGACAACGTAGTCGTTGTAGTCAAGTCCGTGAGCTACGCTGACTGCCTTAGCTTATGCTCTTCCTTTGACTCAGGGGTATACGTAAACACAGTCATACGCACGCGTGTGAGAGCGAGAGAGAAAGAAATACGCATGGCAAGTCTCGGCAGCAGCAATAAGCCGTCAGCGAGTTCGATGTAGCTAGTGCAGCAGCCAATCACAGAGCACAGCGCAAACCGACGCTGTACAGGCATTCTTACTACCAAAGTTGCGCTCGCTCGGACGAACGGATGGACGGAGTGACGCTTGTTTTTCACAGGCTCACTCCTTATACCAAACGCCGATAAAGATTTTTTACATCAAAAATTTACAATTAAGTTAATGATCGCAAATGAAAACATTTAGCTATTCACCCAAAAAATTTTGTGAAAATCATAAACTACGTGATATTGTAAGGTTCACATAGAATTTGATTGAGACGGTCGGGCAAGTAAATCATAAGTAAAGTTAGGTTTACTGTGACTCTTACGCGTGATATTATCAATTATTGTATTACAAACTTACAGTGGGTTTATAGTTTAAAAAATGAAAATTTTAGTTATGCTGAATAATTGTCGCAATAATTTGATTTCATCACTATCATAGCTAAGTAATTAAGTGAAGGTGAACTAAGATTAAAAATTTCAACAATTTGAAAAATAAAGAATTCGGAAGTTAGGCTCAAATTATATGGATCAGACTGTCATATTTTCCCCTATTTATCCTTTTGAAAAAAGTATTAAGATACGGTTTTGAATCATTCAATCAAATGTTCCAGTTGCCTTACAGTCTAAAACAAAACATGTCAGTTTGACGAATACTTGACAAAATTAATTTGATTGCAATAACATCATAGTCGAGGAATCGTTAATGGTGTACAAGTTGAGATTACTTATTTAATACTCGAGGAAAAAATTGTAAAGTTAGCATTTAATTATGAGGACACATCTAACGTACTTACTCCTAAATGTACTTTAAAAAAAAATTAAAAAGAATTTTGATGATCTCATGAGTAAAATGTTAAGTATGTTCATGATACACGTAGAAAATTTAAACTGAATTTCAACATTTTTTAACCTGGTGTCTCAAGCGAGCCACCCAGGATTATATTCCCTCGGAAAATTATTTACTACCCAGAGAAAGTCATCTCTGAGTTTAGATTTCAATTGGTGAGCCAAGCGGATTATGTTGGGTGATATTTTCGCGTCAAAACCGCGGCTTCCTGGAGAAAGTTGTCGTCAAGTCCAGATATCGATCTGATGCATCGAGCGGCCATCCAACGCGTAAAAACCGTTACTTCGAGGAGAAAGTCATCTTTGAGTTTTGAGTTCAACATGGAACCCTGACCGGGCTACACAGGATGATTGCGAGTATCTAGATGTTGCTATCGAGAGAAAAATCTATATGCATATTGTTTAATTCAATGAACACATACATATCATGTCGATGCGCAGCGTCTATCGTGCAACGTATTTTACGGCTTGCGCCTTTAAGGGGGGAAAGGCACCTAAAATCTAAAAAAAAAAAATTTTTTTTTATTGACTTTTTTGATAGGATTTTTCCTTGGCTTTCCAGTGCCGTGATCGGAATTTTAAAATGTTAACTGTACCGTGACGTACAGGTTATTTAGTACCGATACTTTTACGATTATTTAGAAAAAATGAATGAAACGACTCAAAGATATATCGTGGCCAATCTTTCATGAATCTCGAGACTTTCATAAGTCCGTAGCGCCATCTATTGATACTCGTTTTATTCTTTGGTTAGAGTACATCCAGCAGAAATTTGTTTGTTTACANCGGATTGATTGATTGAAATGAAATTTATTTCGCCTAGGTGTAAACACCGTAAGGCGCAGTTCAGTTATACAGTTAGAGGTTACAAATTTAGTAGTTTTTTGAAAATAGCATTAATAGTGGCTTGAATACAATAGGTTGATGAATTAAGTATGTTAAACAAGCATTAGATTAATAGTAATAGATAGATAGTAGTATAATAGTAGTAGTGATGATAGTGAAGCTTGAACACGCTAGCAGCGGAAGAGCAGATCCCGAAGGTAAGTCATGAGCCATCCTCGTCAGTCGTTACGGGTCGAGTTGGCTGAGCAAGTATCCTTTGAGGGCCAACTTGAATGCAGGGGTGCTCATAAGGCTCGTTATGCTGGCTGGCAGGCTATTCCAATGATGCGACCCCCAGACGACGAAGCCGCGCTTGTAGGTTTCTTTATCCGCGTGTGGAACTTCCAGCACCTCGCGCGCAGCGCTCCTCAGTGCGCGACTCGTCGGCGCTCGTCTAGTGAAAAGCTCACGCAAATAGCTCGGGTTCTCTTGGCGCAATACTCGATGCATCTGCACGGCGACGAAGTAACCTCGTCTCGAGGACGGGGTGAGCCATCCTAGGGTCCGTTGATATGGCAGCATTCGGGCGTCGCGACGAAGGCCGAACACAAATCGAATGGCAGTGTTCAGCAGGCGGCGCATTTTAGTTTCCAGTTCATCTGTCAGGACCGGAAAAACAGCGCAGGCGTAATCGAACTGCGGCAGCACCAACGCAGAGGCCAGAAGACGCCGTGGACGCGAGAAGACACCGCACCAATCTGGCTGTCCCAAGACAGATTCTGCTGAATCATGAGGCCCAAATTGCGGATCCTGCTCTGGTATGGCACAACTTCACCGCTCAAAACAATCGGCACACGTGGGCCGTACGGGAAGCGCATTCGTCGCTGATCAGAGGCAATGATCATAGCCTGGGTTTTTGGCACGCTAAGCAACAGGCCACAGCGTGTCGCCCACTCAGCAACGGCCTGAACGTCGCTGTTTATCCTGGCTGCAATGAGATCCAGGTCCTCGGGTGGGCCGGACAGGTAGATCTGCAGGTCGTCCGCGAAGAGCATGCAGGACGAGCCACAGTGCCGCAACGCACCGATGACTGAGTCGATGAAGGCAGCAAAGAAAATCGGCGCTGGAGATGATCCTTATGGTACACCAGACGTCAAAGGCAGGAAGTCGGAGGCGGGGCCATCAAGACCAGCCACGGCTTGAGATCGGTCGCTGAGGTAGGAGTGTGCAAAGCGCAGTGCATCAGCCGTGAAGCCCAACTCACGAAGCCTCCTCAAAAGCACAGTGTGATCAAGCGTGTCGAATGCGCACTTGAAATCGAATAGCACAATGATCGTCACATGCCCATCCTCGACCGCTCTTCGGGCGTCCTCGACGACCCTCAACAGTGCCGTCTGGGTGCTGTAGCCCCTTCTGAATCCGGATTGCCTTGTTGACAACAGCCGGTTATCCTCCAGGTAGGCGACCATCTGCTCGGTGATAAGCCTATCACAAGCCCTGGCCAAGTGGGGCAGGTTGGCTATCGGTCGTGTCTGCGCGGGCGAAAGCGGCCGGGGCACTTTGCTGAGCGGAACAATTGTTGATCGCTTCCAAAGCGTGGGATACTTGCCGGCGGCAATAGAAGCATTAAAAATGCGCGACAGGAAAGGCGCAATTATAGTGTACGAATGCTCCAGGTATCTCAAGGACACACCATCGCAGCTGCTACCACGAGCGCCATGTCCCACGTGCAGCAGAGCCTTGAGTACCCGCGCCTCTGTCACCTCGATGAGCCGAAACTCGCACTCGAGAGCACAGGCATCGCGCAGGTAGTGCTCTCTGGCGAGCTCGATATCGCGCTTAAGCTCCTTTCGCAGACAGCGATATCGATAAAGCAGGTCTCGGCTGCCCCGCCGCCTTGCGTCCCTGTACATTCTATCACGCTCATTACACCTCGCACGCAGTGCAGGCGTGAACCACGGGGCTGATGCTCTTCGTTTCCGAGACAGGCCAATGGGAGCATGCTCATCGAGCAATTCGAGTACAGAAGAATTGAACTCGTGAAGCAGTACATCCGGGTTGTCACAGTGGGAGAGAGACACTGAGAGAGTCGAGAGGCGAGTGCTTAATTGGCAATTGAACAATAATTTATTGAATTTTGAGAAATTACGCGACAGGCGGGGCTCAAGCACCACGGCAGGTGAGCCCACAAAATAATCAAAACAAAAATAGTCATGCCCATGGATGAACGGTGCAGAGGACTTTGTATAATTCCGGACTCTTGAAAGGGAGTCCACGAACGCCAGGTCAATCCAAGTGTCGGTGAAAGCGGTGTGATGCGTCGGCTCGGACGGGACCAGCTCCAATGAGCATTCACTGGTGAGCGCTCTCAAGTTCCTGGCCTCATCACTCTGCGTGAGCATATTTGCATTGAAGTCGCCAACAAATACAAAGTGGTCAAATGATTGACAAATCGATTGGTAGTAGTCAAATAGCTCAGTGCAGTAATTACCATGTGTAGTACCATGGCGGTAGACGGAGGTAAGCAATAATTTCTTAGCTCTGAACTTCAGTTCAATTGCCAGGACCTCATTCTCATCGATGCAGGAAATCTTAGGGCTGTAGACGATCCTGGCTGGTAGATCGCTATGCACATAACAAGCCACACCACCACCGAACACATAATCCTGGTTGGGATTCGGTGAGGGCAAGCCTCGGTCGTTACGAAATAATTTGTATCGAGGCACCTCCACCGCTCGCGAGTTGACATTCGGCGTGAGCCAGGTCTCGCAGACAGACAGCACATCGACCAGCAACTCGAGCATCTTGTCCTTGACAACCGCCATTTGCTTGCGCAGGGAGAATGCGTTGACCTGCATCACACGAAGTTGAGAGTGGGAACGCTGGACTGCAAGTGCCGAAGCTTGGCCTGCAGTCATGAAATATTGGCCAGGTCGGCCCAGGTGACGATCTCGATGCGCTCTCCGTTGGCCACCTTTCGCGCGAACAATCGCCCGTCATCAGTCCATACCGATGCATATTTGTGTTCCCTACCACGCTCACATGCAGCCTGAAACAGCTCAAACACGGGTCCAGGCAGCAGCTTAATGAAGCGAATCTCGTCACTTGATCCTCCCGAAATGATATCGGAGACTTTGAGTTTTCCGTGGTGGTGCTTACGTCTCATAACGAAGGCTCGCGAGGCCGGCTGCTTGAATGTCGCTACAAAGGAGAATGTAGGTGCATGTGCATCGCCGGAAGCGTCACGGGGCCGCCGGTCGTCGCCGAAGACTCTGAATTCGAGGACGTCATCGAGTACCTGGGTGTTCCAAGCCGGTCTATCGCCGATCCAAAAAATTCTCGAAAAGCCTCAGGTGTGCGCTCGACCGCCGCGTCGAGCACGCCCCGTATGCGCAGCTCAGTGCTGGGACGGGCCGCTGTAACGATCGTCTTGATGTGGCTGATCTCGGACGACACCAAGGTCAGCACAGACTGGTGCTCGTCAATCTTCCTGTTGGTGGTCGCGATGAGCGCTTCCACTGTGTCAAATCTAGTTGTCATGACGCGCATTAATGCGTCGTGTTGGGCTTTCTGCTCAGTGGCGCTTGCCATATTGGAGGGTCAGCAACACCTCTACGCGCGTCCAGAGCAAGAGAGCGAGACTCAGCCCTGCCAGCAACAACAGCACAGGCGGTACCGGCACGACGTGCCTCCGTCCGAGCACTACACGATTCGTCAAGGGGCTCACCGGCGAGTCGGGAGCAGCAAAGAAGTGGCTTGTCTTCTATTAGACGTACAAGACACCTGGGGTGGTATAATTTCCCACACTGGGGGCAGAAAGCAGTTGCTAAAGCACCGGTAATATCTCTTATCCTTTTGCAACGTCCGCACGACACCATTGGCCAACGGTCAAAGCACCACACAAACCGTTGCGACGTTCAACTCTTCAATTTAAATCAACCACACAATGTTACTATGCCGCGACTCGGACACTGTATAGTCACTTTCACCACAAAGTCAAATGTCAACAACACAGCACTCAAGAAGCCATGCGGAGAGAAAGTAAACAAAGGCACTATTCCTTATTTCTTGAAGAGAGGTCCTCCTCTTTAGCTCTGCAGGTGATCTGCGCAGGTCTCGCCGACGTCGACAGTTGATGATAATTATTTTTCTAACCCCGAAGGTGGTAATCCATGCAGATAATTCCTGTTTTTTTGAGAGTGCAAGAGTGGCTAAGCTCAGAGCTTGCGGTCACACCTTGCAAAAGAAGCGTGCAAGAAAGATCTGAAGAAGAAAAAAAGGCGCCCGCGGGCACAAAAAGCAGCAGTAATAGGTTCAAAGGCAGGAGCTCGAAAAGATGTGCGTGTTCACACTTACCAAGAGAGAGAGAGAGAGAGAGAGAGAGAAACTGGGAGAGAGAGAGAGAGAGCGCACGCTGGACCCCACGTAGCATCCGCAGCGATGTGACGTCACACACACTACAATAGATCAAGCAATCAACGCGAAGTGCAAGACACTTTTCTTGTCTTGCTAATTTGATAATCAGCGCGCGCAACCAGTGACCCCGAACAAGTAGGAAATTTTGGTGGCATGACTTGGAGAGAGAGCGCTATGCAAGCGCTCGATTATGACCTATATAAGCGACTAATCAATGCAATAAAAGCACTGATAATTAAAAGCAAGATTCTTGAAAAATCACGAAGACTACAGCCACAGATAAATTTGTCCCAGTTCAGCATTAAAGGGTTCCTGCAGAAAATCGATGGAAATTTCGCTCATATCTTTCGGAATTTCCACAGTAGTTTCGCTCTTTTTTTAGATTATTCCCACAGGAAATCCACGTTTTCTATCGGATTTATAAAAATAATTTTCTTTTTTTCTGACGGATCTTTCTAGAATTCTCAATTTTGCTTATTCCTTAATGTTCACCTATAATAATTCCGTGCTTTTATCAAGAATTAACCACAGGAATTAATTGTTTACCTGAAGGAAACCTGCAGGAGTCCACGAGTTTCTGAAGGATTGCTCATAAAAATTTTACGTTTACTTCAATTAGAATTACACATAGAAATTTAGCGCTTACCTGAAGGATTCCTGCACGAAATCCACAAGTATTATATCCAAGATATATAATAACATTAAGTTAAAGAAAAATAATTTGTAGTCATTTATCTCATGCCTAAGATAATTTTATTCAGTAACTATCAGTGAATCATCACATCATTTACAAAATAGTTACTTATATTATTAAAGGTAATTTTATTCAATCGAAAGTGACATATTTAGGCACTTGAATCTTTCTTATTTTTATATAACCCAAAATGCAGCTCAAATAAGGAATTTATTTTCTCCTGTAGTGCACTTGAAGTAACCTTGGAAAAATAGACGTATTCGAAGAAAAATTTTTAGCTTTTTCAAATTTGCAATGATATATTGGGTTTGCAGGGTAAAAAAATCGATGTTTGGTCTGATGTAGTTGATTGGAGTTAAGTTAAGGGTCAAATTTAAGGTCAGGTTTTAGGTTCCCAGGGGTTGTAATACTTTTGTCGCATTCTTTACATGTAAATTTTTTTGAATTTAAAATTTTAAACCTACTCACGTGAAAATTTAATCAATTAAAAATTTTTTTTCTCATCTCAAATTTAAGGTTTAGCAACATATTTTGTCGATATTAATATTAAAAAAAAACAGAACTTTTTAGTCAAAGTAATATCTCTGTTTTTTCATAATAATTTTCAAAATATTTTTAATAATAATTTATTATGCTAAAAATATAACATTTCGATTCTCAGAATAGTTGTGATTATTATGAGTTTATTGATAATACCAAAATCCATTGCGCTAAATCTGTTCTGTTTCGTCAGCTTTTTTCTTACAAAGATTTTTTTTAAATTGTGAAAAAAGTTTGTCCCTAATCTTGCGAATAAAGCGAGAAGCCTCTCGTTGATAATGCTCAAGATTTATTATTTCCGTCTGGAAAAGGTACTATGAAAATTTTTTTTCTAAACGGTACTAAAATGATAAAAAACAGATCAATATGAATAAATAATCATCAATACCTTTTGAGATTCATTTATGTCCACCAAACAAAAAATCTCACTATGTATGCAGCTTAGTACAATCCACTTATAGTAAATTGAAAGTTGCATCATTAAAACAGCTTCAAATTATGGCGATCAATTTGATTGAACTTGAAATTGTAGATGCACTTTACTTTGTAATGCTGAAGTGATGCATTGTGAACTTAAATAAGAATAATTTATAGGACGTAGGACGTAGAAAAATTACTCACCCTATTTTCTTCCCATTCTATACTCACAATTTATATTTTGATACATAATTTTTTTTTTATTGAATTTTCTCAGTATAATTCTAACGCTTATTTTGTTATGTTCATATTAAATGTACATATTTATTAATTGAATAATTTTATGGATTTCAGAAAAGATTTTTCATCTTCTTCGTATAAAATGTATCTTATCATACTAAATTTTATTATTTTCTCGACGATAATCGAGTTAGTATATATAACTTTTATAAACTTCTAAAAATTTTCGAAAGTTTAAATAAAAAGGTTAGTTTATAAACACATTTATTTTTATGAAAATATTTCAATTTTATTGCTTATCCGACGCAACACTAACATGATTATCAAAAAATTTTCTTTTTTTTAACTTAAACAAAAACTGATAATTTCAGTCAGAAATCGATGATTTTTCTAAGTTTTGAACAAAAACAAAACATTTAAAAATTTTCAAAACTTCAATAGACTTTACTCACTTTTATATGAGTCAAAAATTCACCGTTTTACAAAAGCTTATAAAAGATTGATGGTTGATAGAAGTTTATATAATATTAAGCAATAAAATATTAATGTAAAAACTTTATTTTTGTGAGGTTTTTAAAGAACGATTATTTCCTACTTGAAATAATTCAAATTAATTATTATACAACTTCTATGATCTTGCTATGACTACTTGCCTTATTTCCAGGAGAAAAGTTAATTTTTATATATAAATGGGCTATATCACGTCAACTGTCCCCCTTCTTAGATCCAAATTGGGAATTTCATTTTTCATATCTTATTCTGCTTCCCAAGAGTAAATATGAAAAATTGTTAAAACATGATTGTTTACGTGAAATTTGATGAGTAATTCAAATTTGTCATTCAAAATCATATTCATACCCTCGAAATCCCTAAATTATAACAAATAGTCCAAAGACCAAAAATGAACATGGTTTGTCTCTAATTTTCCTTGATTCTTGACTCATATGATGCTCAATAATAAAGTCTGTTTGCGTGGCGCTGGGGCATTACTCGCGTTTTTACCCATATATGGGGCAAAATTCCTGAACTGTCCTAGCGACCCGGCCGAGCGGCCTTTTTAAGCAAAATCACTCAATTTCTAACTCGCCAGAAAAGCCACTAAACATCCTTAGAAAAAATATGTGACGTAAGTTATCGATGGGAAATTACCTCAGCTTTCCGATGGTGCAGACGAATGTTGTACGACAAACAAAATTACGTTCAAGCTTGTGATATTGAATATCACAAAGCAGCTGTGGCAGTTTTAGACCAAATTGAAGGAATGTTTTCTAAAACTTCTGATAAGCAAGAGAGAATTCGGCTTCTCACCTTATCTCCTAAATTTTGGAGTCGTAATGATATGATAAGAGAATTTAAGTGCACTGAACGAGAAGCGAGGAATGCAAAAAATTTAATAAACGATGGGAAAATCTTAGAATGTTCTGATAAAAAAAAGGAAGATCGCTTTCAGAGGATACTAAAGTTCTTGTTGAACAGTTCTATCTTCGAGACGATATTAGTCGCATGATGCCGGGTCTCAAAGACTATGTCTCTGTAAAAAAAAGCAATGGT